CCTTTTTCCCCCCCCCCCCCCCCAAGCGAACTAACGAGAAGCACATCCTCCGATAATTTAGCTATAAATGAGCTTCCCGCTCGACCAAAAAAAAAAACAACAGAAATCAGTGCGAATCAAAACATAGTTTGTAAGAAATATTGGCAATTCAACAAAAAAAAAAACGATTTTAGATGGAAGGAAGAAGATATGAGCTTTAAAAAGTAACTTACCAAGTATGAAGGAGGTAGTGGGCCTTCACCAGGCGAGCTGCAAACAAAAAGGAAGGATTAATTAATTAACTAATAACTAATAAGGGGACAGTTTCTTTCAATGGTTCATTTTCACTCAAAGTTTCCGAAAAAATTGGGGCACGCCGACTGGCTCCTGTTGCGAACTTTAGCCAGGGCATTAAGGAGAGTTGTTTCTCAAAGAGAATGGAGCAAAAATCACGCTGACTAAACGAGATAGCCTGAAACACATTCTCAACTTCACAATCTGCAGCTTCCCGCTTCTAAAACGATACACAGATGAACATTTCGTGGGAGGAGTCGTTCCATCAAACTCTTGCGACTAGGATGCTATACAATATTCAAAATGAGTGACGCCTCTGCGCGCAAATTGGGAGGAAGAGCCACAGACTTAATCAACGCAAGGAAAACGTAAATATGAACACGGTAGTTGATAAAATCACGTCTCCTCCCATAGTATCGTTGTATCGTTTTTGAAGCGGGCAGCTTTAAAAAGACAAATATTTCTTACGCATAGATTGTGAAGATGTGGATATCAGACTTACCCGATACGGTCATAGTGATTTTTGAACTATTTTCTACACAAAATTAGGTCTTCTGTTGGCTTTAGCTGAAGTTAGGCACAGACCCATGTGCAAATGTGCTGTTTTTTTAGAGAAATTATTAACATGGGTCCCCGGTTCTCCCTGGTAAAAAACGCAGAGGACGCCCTGCCAAATCGTGAATTGAGGGAATGGGGCAGGAAATGAAGAGATGCGATCTGCCGGAGGAGTTCTGGCTAGATCGGAATCAAGTGGCGGTTGGGCGTCTCTGAGCGCACAGAAGCGCTATGAGAGAGACTTGTTAGTTAGTTGTTAACAGGGGCATGTTTCCCTGTGACATAGGCGTGGTTAGGGAATTTTGGTACGGAAGGTCTAGCTCGGTTAGGGAATTTTGGTACGGGAGGTCTAGCTCTCGCCTCTCTACCACTGGGGGTTTGGGGGGCACATAATAACCCCCCAGTACAGAGGACGGTCCGGAAAGCCTTCTCCGGAATATTTTTGAAATTTTAAATCTATTAAGACGTCTTTTGAGGCTTGTATCTAGTGCAACTGATCCATATTCGGCTTGCAACTGTCAACTGCAGAGGGACAATGGATGAAATTTAATAACAAGAAAGGAAGAACCATTGGATACGTACCAGATGAGAGTTATCCAATTGCCCGACGCCAAGCTGAAAGCACTCGCAACACGACACCATCACTGAAACCGCGCTGCGCACTAAAAAATTGGCCTTCAAAAGGTTGTTAGGATGGATACTAATAATTTGAAAACATGTACAGATTCACCAGGAAATGAATCATATTAAAATTTTATAGGATGGATACTAATAATTTGAAAACATGTACAGATTCACCAGGAAATGAATCATACTAAAATTTTATAGGATGGATATTAATAATTTGAAAACATGTACAGATTCACCAGGAAATGAATCATACTAAAATTTTATAGGATGAATACTAATAATTTGAAAACATGTACAGATTCACCATGAAATGAATCATACTAAAATTTTATAGGATGAATACTAATAATTTGAAAACATGTACAGATTCACTAGGAAATGAATCATACTAAAATTTTATAGGATGGATACTAATAATTTGAAAACAAAACATGTACAGATTCACCAGGAAATGAATCACACTAAACATTTGCTCAACTTAAATTCTGCTCAAATAAGGTGTTTACAATGATAGATGGTATAAAAAAAGATGAGAAAAATAGTAAATAAAATTATGATAAGGCTAAGTAATTAAAAGTGGGACTTGAAACCAGAGGTACATACAATAAGGAGAAAATCATTCTGTGGATGATCAAAAAACGAAAAAAGGAAAAAACCAATCATAATGTATGCTGGAAGAACATCCATTGTTCCAATATGTTAGCTTCCAGATGTACCTATATGCATGTTCCAATTTTTTCCCCATTATTTTTTGGGCTAAAAATTAATCAAAATCAACATTTGCATTGTTTTTGTATACTTGATGAACATGACTTGCTTAATTAACGTTACACAAGTATCGTGGATGCAGGTCAGAAGTCGCATCATCGATAGTTCATTGTTCAGCTTAAAATCACTAAAATTGTGTGTTTACTTTGCACTTCAATGGCTTTATGGCGTGGAGACTTAGTACACACAGCGAACATTTTTAATAACAAAAGCAAAAACCTACAATACTAGCTCCCAAGTTCGTGGTTTGAACTTCAAAACACACTCATTGAAGACTAAGGTTTCGACAAACATTTAAAAGAAAATTGCAATAGACGATATCAAATTCGCTTTAAAAAAATAAAAAATAAAAATGTATCACTGAGAAACACAAAAAAACGTCATGATTGTTGGCATATTATTTCATAAACATCTTCTTAATCATCTACTTTCGTCCAACAGAAACAATGTATGAAAAAACAAACAAAAACTCAAATCATGGAATATTTTTGGATAAGAAGATATACACTTGTAAAATGTCTGGACCATATTGCTACAATTTTTTTGCTGAATTTTTAACGACTTTACAGGGGTTTTCAACAGAAGATTCTGTAACTTGATTAATAATTATGAACGGAATTCTTGCACAGTTTCTCATAAATATGCTTTTCACGAAAAATTTTAACACGAAGTCTCGATATGGCATAAATCTAGAATTCGAGAACTTGAGGGCAGAAATTCTGATTTTTGTCCACAGAGCGTGTAAATGCAGTGGAAAATAAGTTGTATACTTTCCGATCGGAAGAAAGAATTTCAAGGTTCCACAGCAAAAAATACCAGTCTTTTCAGGGTTGAGCAAAATTACTTGACTTATCAGGGTTGGGAGAAATTCCCTGATTATTCAGGATTGCGCTGAATTTCTTGACTTCCCCAGGTTCTAGACGATTTTTGAAGGACTGTTTACCCTGAGATGTACATAATTTTATCAGGGCTGCCGATACTCTCAAGACTCGCGAGTCTTTTACACGACCTCTCTTTGTCGTTATCAATTTTATTAATATGCTACTGACCGTTCTCGATTTACCTCAATTTGATTCACCATTTCTAGATTTTAACTCGCATTTTACTCACTGTTTTTCGACTTTACTCTCTCTTTACTCCCCGTTCTCGAATTTCCTCACTTCGATTCACCATTTCTAGATTTTAACTCACATTTTACTCAATGTTTCTCGAGTTTACTCTCTCTTTACCCACGGTGTCTCGATTGCATTCCCTCTTTATTCTCCGTTCTCGATTTTAACTCACATTTTACTCACTGCTTCTCGATTTTACTCTCTCTGTACTCACCGTTCCCAATTTTCCTCACTTCGATTCACAGTATCTGAATTTTAACTCACATTAAACTCATTATTTCTCAATTTTACTCTCTCTTCTCTCACCGTGTCTCGATTTCACTCCCTCTTTGTACTCCGTTCTCGATTTTAACTCACATTTTACTCACTGCTTCTCGATTTTACTCTTTCTGTACTCACCGTTCTCAATTTTCCTCACTTCGATTCACAGTATCTGAATTGTAACTCACATTTAACTCATGATTTCTCAATTTTACTCCTCTTCACTCGCCGTGTCTCGATTTCACTCAGTCTTACTCATTACCTACACACTCGCGCGAGGTATGAATTTCTTCAGAATCATTCATCGCTCTATCGACCCCTTCAACACACTCAGATTCACTAGGGTTGAAAATTACTCTCATCATATTCGTAGCAGATCATTAAATTACTCGCAGATCGTTGAATTCCTCACGAACTACTCATTACTCACTTTTTTACTCACCGATGCTCAAATTACTCACAAATGGGCAGCCCTGATTGCTTACTATCTGAGAAAGATTCGATTCATAACTCGTGACAAATTAAGATACTTTTAAAAGAAAAAATTTACAGGGGGGAAACACACTATATAAATGTGAGTAATAAATCAATATAGGCTCATATTAGAATTTAAAAGAGGCCTTCGGGTTAAGTTCTGTCCAACTTAATTCCACCCTGTAATTATCAAAATAAACAACAAGTTGAAAAAAAAGAGAGAAAAAAAAAACTCGTGACAAAATTAACAGTTTCCTTGACACTTATTCCTTATAAGCTGTGAAAAATAATCGTTGGGTTAAGGAACACACATTCCTACTCTTAAAAATTCTGCTGCTGATTCTCCTTCGTCGGCTACTGGCTGCTGTAACTTCTTCCTCTTCTACTATTACTTACTGTCTTCGTTTTAATTTTTCCAGCCCAATTTCAGATTGGCTTGATTTCCTAAATCAAGGAATTTTTGCAGCTGCTGTAATTGATATTGCTGCTGTAGCTGCTGTAACTGCTATTGTTGTTAATATATTAAGATCAAGAAGGATATTGATAAGGATTGATAAAGGATTGTTGGAGGAGAAGGGTTGTTAACAAGGATTGAGAAATGTAGAAACTCTGATTAAAGTACTTTATTAAGTTTATTACTTTGCTTACTATTACTACTTACGTAAATTACTTACTTTACTTACTATGTGTCTTACTTTAATTTACTTATTACTTTTTTACTTTATTTTTATACTTTTAAACTCAATGGACGCCATATTTTGTGTCAGGACGACATGCGATATATCATATCGATTACTTCCATTTTATCAGCTAGTCGTCATTTTTCTCGAATTTTGAGATCGCAATTCTGTTGTCAGACGACTAAGGGATTCATTTACCAATTTTGACAACCAAATTCAACGTTATGAAGGCGTGGTTTTTAAGAGGAAAAATATCGCATTCGAGTGCAGTTTCGATAACAGTATCGAACGCGATATTTGTCCTCTAAAAAAGCCACGCCTTCATTACGTTGAATTTGTTTGTCAAAATTGGTAAGTGAAATCCTTAGTCTCCTGGCAACGGAATTGCTTTCTCAAAATTCGAGAAAAATTACTAATAGCTGAAAAAATGAAAGCAATCGATGCGATATATCGCATGCCGTTGTGACACAAAATATCCATCGAATCACCTTAAGATCATGAGTGAGTGAGTGAATGCGAGGGATAGAACTATCATACGTCCAACTCCTACCTCAAACTTCCTCATCTCAACTTACCCCTTAAGGTGATTCCTCCCAGGAAGTAAACCAACATCGATCTGTCGAACAAATTTTGCTGTGATAGCAGTTTTGTTTCCTACTCTTTGCAAAAAAGAGCTGAAACAATGAAGAAGCATACTTCAGCAACCTGTTGGTGAAAAGTATCTTCCCGAAACCCCTAAATTAAAGTCAAACTAGACTGAACGAGAAATGTCGTATTCGGTTAGTTAAATCGAATGCGATAACTCGCGTTTAGTCTCGTTTGGCTTTAATATAGGGATTTTGGGAAGATATAATTCACCAACAGGCTGCCGAAGTATGCTTTTACACAGTTCCAGCACTTTTTGGCAGAGAGTGAAAAGCAAGACTCGTATTGCAACAAAATTTGTTCGATATATCGATGTTTGCTTGCTTCCTGGATGGAAACACCTTAACCCAAACCCTAGTCCTAATCCAACCCCTCGTCCCAACCCGAACCCCCTCCCCCCTCCTAGTCTTCGCCCACCTAAACTCACGAATCCCGCCTTACCAAGTCAGTCAACTGACGCCTAATCCGTTTCGGCTAACCCCGAGGTAAATAAAACGGAAGTATGATCTTTACTGACTCTTTCGGTCAGAAGTATGCTTTCGACTCCCGCCGCTAGAGCTAAGGTGGGGAGTTTGAATTTCAATAACTTTAAAAAGTTGTTGAAGTTCAAATTTCGCGCCACAGCTATAGCGGCGGGAGCCAAAAGCCCAGTTTTGACTGAAAGAGTCTGGAAGAGCAAGAGCATACCAACGTTTTATTTACCTCGGTCCTACCCAACCCAACACACAATCGCACATTAATACTTGACCTAACTACTGTAATATACTGTGCCCGCAAAAATCTCCTCCCCCCACTTCCCCTCTAACCCATCCCCTAATCCCGACCAAAACCCCCCACCATACCCCTAATCCTCGCCCGCCCTGGTCTTCCCTAAGCCTACAAATTCCGCCTTACAGCTAACCTGACCTTACCTTACCATACAAAACAGAGCACAGCACACACGGAGAAAAAATTTCATGCGTGGGACCGGAAGCTTAACTTCGGGTCCCACGCACAAAGTTTTTTTCTCCGAGTACCACACCATAACACAACACAACACATGCAACACAACCATGTCGGCCACGGTAAAAAACTCGTTTTTACCGCAGCTGTATCTCGGGGGCCAATCCCAAGGTCACTGACCAAGGGTAAAAATGGCACCTCCACGGTGCCCGCAACCATCCACCGGGGCAGACGTGCGGCCGGGGCGGTGTCTGCAGGTCGCTCCTCTAGTGCCTCCAGACGGACGACGTCCGCCGACCGGGTGGACGACCGCGCGCCGGGCGCCCCGACGAGTGCTCGGTCGGACGACAGAGCCTCCGACTCAACTTCACTCTCGGACCGAGGTCAAAGGCC